AAAAAAAAAAAAAAAAAAAAAATCACGCTCAAATTGTACAAATTAAACGTACAATAATAATGATCATAAATAAGAGTGATAACTATCTAAAATGAAATGCATTTCTTACGCTCAAATTGTAAAAAAAAAAAAATGATACTCATATTAATTACATTTGTAAATTAAATTATAAGTCTAACACATACATTATTTAATGTTTATTTTTGTAAAATTCAGTTGGATGAATTTGAATCGGTACAAGTTGCATGTTTGTTTATATATTTTTAAATATCATGTAAAATAATAAAATAATTTATATCCGGAAATTGTATATGTGATACGGATGTCAAAAGATGATTAATTTGATAGATCATATCCGGAAAATGGATTACAGATAAAAACATTTTAACTTTTAAAATTTTACAAAAAAATATGGAATTAATAAACGAGAACAAATTATATCACTTTTGTATGATAAGATTTAATTTGGGAAAGAGATAATGAGACAAAAAATAAATGCATACTTATCAAAATTGCAATGAATTATGTCATATATCAAATTAAATCATACACATTTTGAATTAGTATACAACGGGATACAATCATAATTTTGATCATTCCTTAGTAGTAACGTTGACTTTGTTTGGCTTGCAGGCTATAGCAGTTGCAAGTACGCATATAACTCTACTATATGACGAGACGCATAATGGAGCTCTCCATGCATGAATCTTTTGATTAATATTGTTTATCGTCATCTTGTTGTTTGTGTTTTGGTCGTTTGCGACGAGTCTGAATTAAGTAATATCGACAGAGCTTCGTGTCGATGCTTTGTGTGTGTCAGGGTTCTAAGTTCCATTAATCATTTCGTGTTTTCTTTCATGTTTTCGTGTAAGAGTCTTCCAAGTTTCATGCATGTAATTGCAAATGTTTGCGACTGAGTCTGAATTTATAAGTAACATCGACACAGTTTTGTGCCGATGCTAAGTGTTTTATGGTTTTGAGTTTCATCGATCGTTTCATGTTTCCTTTATGTTTTCCTGTAAGTCTCTAAGTTTCATGTAATATGTCGCATTCATCTTGCCATTGGAAAAAATAATAATATAAAAAATATTTCTTGATACTGGATTTTCGATTAGATATAATAATAAATTAATTTTGCATTTATAAATGAATATGAGATAAAATTTGTAAATAATTTGTAGTTAAATAATATGTAAGTGAATGAATAGTTAGAGTAGACATCCGAGCTGAGTTGGGTGCATGCGCCTGGAGTTAAATACGACAGCTTAATGAATAAATAGTCGAGCCAAGTACTCAGGTCAGAGGATTAAAAGTGGAAACCGAAATCGGGAATCAGAGCAGTCGCGAAATCGAACATGATACCCAAGTCGGATGATCATAAGAATGAGGCCGGGAAATCAACTTGAAACGAACAGGATACACAAGTCGGGAAATCGAACATGAAAGGAACAGGATACCCAAGTCGAGTCTTATGATCCGGGAAATCAACTTGAAACGAACAGGATACCCAAGTCGGGAAATCGAACATGAAAGGAACAGGATACCCAAGTCGAGAAATCAACTTCACCTTTTCCTCTCAACTATTCTAAAGCAAATTAATTACAAAAAAAATCATAAAAAAATTCCAAAAAAATATCAAAACACGACATATTATGACTAGTATTATATCAACATGGTCTTTATTAACTAAAAGTTATGATTTATACTTTTAAGTTTTATCAATTATGCATTTTTGACATAAAAAAAACAAACAGTTTGAGTCTAACTTTGAACTGTCAGATCCCGCACACACACACACACATACCCATGTGGGTGTGTCTCGATCTGATGGTTCCCAATGATATATGCATTAACACATCCTAAATATTAAAAATTCACAAGAAATTATTGAACTCACACATTTTATGTTTTACAACACACATAAATAATGTATCCAAACACACAACAACTCATGGACAGAGCCCTGATTAATATAGTCAATAACTATTTGAAATATTTTTAATTATGTATTTATTGCTATAAAAAACTAGAGAGAAAGAGAGAGAATACAGAAAATGTATCCTCTTAGTGTGTTTTTCATTATAACTTCAATTTATAGGAAAACTTTTGATAACACAACCGTAATAATACAATTACATCAGGGGTAAAATAGTCATTCACATCAATTATTTTCTAATAAATATTTCACAACATTTATAATAATAATAACAATAATAATAATAATAATAATAATAATAATAATAATAATGAAGAGTGATTATAAGCTTCTTGCCAAAAAATATGAGAACTAATATGGCTGAAAATTGAGAACCACCTCCTTTATATACAATCTCTGCTAAACTTCAAGATCAGTTCAACAATTTCCCCCCATCAGACGATCCTTATCAGCCCGAACAAAACCGCAATCACGGACAATACAGCCTAAACAAGATAGACATACACAATTTTTATCGAACAATCAGCAGAGAAATGAAAATGGAAAAACACGTTCCGAAAAATGGATTTAAAACATTTGAATCTAATAGTGTTGGCATTTGTTAGTTTTTTTTCTATAGTTTGGGGAGCAGAAAGGAGGGACATAATCAATAAGCCCTTTACTACATTGAGAAGAAACAGAAAGAATGCTTACAGCAATTACGCAAGCAACATATCCCGGTTTCTCGCGAGGGTCGATCCTTGAACATAAAAAAAGCAATGCTGCAACATACCATGGGATTGCAGCCAGAAAGAATCCAATAATAAACCTTCAAAAGAAATACAATTACCAACAAATTAAAAAAAATAAAATAAAAGATCAGCCACTTCACAAGAGAATAATATTTTTCAGCAGCTCATTTGATCTCATACTTATTTAATACATCACATAGTTCATGTGATCATAATTCGTTTGTTGTCTATCCTAATCATGAAAAACGAAATGCCCGAATAAGAATAATAACTAATAACGACGATGTTCAGTAAAAGCTTCAGAAGAAAGGCATAAAAGCAATTCTAATTATGAAGAAATAGTTAGCTCATCAATATGGAATAACAAAAAAAAAAAAGTTCTGTGAGGATGAAAGCTTACAAGAACCAGCCGAGTCCAATGCCACAACAAGGAAGGCGATGTTCCCTTACAGGTCTTCCTTCTGCAACACCATAAACTGCACCGATTTTTATTTAGGAAAACCGAAAATCTAACGTGAAATGCAAGATTTATCGATAAACCGCTTAAAGGGAAATCAATGAACGCGTCTCGGGATTAGAAGAGATTCGTACATTGAAATTTTACACCCACAAAACCGGTGAATTTCGCATAAACTTCAAATTTCGACGATTCTTCCCTAAGATCAATCTCAAGATCTAAGAACTAGGTTCTTTCTCCTCTGTGTCATCAAAAACATAAATCTTGTTGCTGTTAAGATCTGACAATAGCTATACACACAATCCATTTTTTGGTCCAAAATTGGCCACAAACAGCTGCTGATCAAGACAACATATAAAATACCAAAATATTCACACCCCATGTATCTCAACATGAATGTAATATAAGTAAAAGAAATTCAACTCACAGCTCAATTTTATTTTATTTTTCCCTTTTGACAAATTCCTAAAAATTGACGCTCAAATAATCAAAGATCTGAGAAGTTTAAGCGAATAGGAATACCA